ATATTTTAAGGCAGGCGCCGGGGACTGGCGGGTCCCGGCTATTTTGGTCACGCCTGGAAGAAGGGGGCAGGGAGGTGGGAGGGTGGCTCTGCCCCAGAGTGGGTGGGCCGTGTCCGAGGGTGGTGGGGACTACAGCTGTGAAGCCCTGCTGCTGTGCTGCCCCACTCGGGGTGAGGAGAAACCCCCCGGAGCAGGGGCTGGGACCCCCCACCCTGGGAGCCCCCCTTCCTTCCATCCCGGAGGGTTTTTCTCCTGGCCCCACTGCTGAGCTTTCCATGGGGTTGATGCTTCCAGCCTGGCTCCAGCAGGCAGCAATAAGCCCCACTCCCCTGCCTGCACCTTCTGCATCCCTCCCCAAAGACAAAATTCCTATTTCCCTCCTGTCCTTTGAGTGGTTTTGACCCATGTGGGGAGGGCTGTGACCTTCCTCTCCCACCTTCCCTGTCACGCAGAAGACACCCAGATACTGGGAGGTTGGGGTAAGAGCTAACACCAGTGACCCCACAGAGGACACCCAAGGAAAGCCGCCTCTCCCCTCCCCTGTTTGCATTGCAGAGCAGCTGCTGCTGCATAAATGAGGGCACAAATAACTTTATCTCCAGGTGCAGGAGTAAACAGGCAATTGGAAGGGAGAAGGTTTACCCTGGCAAGCTGTATGGAAAGGACCTTGGCAAAACAGGTACAGGGCTGGGCCTGGGAAGGACCAGGGTCACCTGCTTTCCTGGAACTTCAGCTAGAGCAGGAGGTAGGAACTGGCTGATACCTCATCTGCCAGCAAGGAGCGAGGGGGGTTGGGTCCTGCCAAGCCAGCCTGGCTGCCCTTCCCTCCTTGGGAGCACCTGACCATCTCTGCTGGACTGTCTTTGGGTAGCCCAAGACATGGGTTGGTGGTAACTGCTTATTATGAGTATCAATGTATTGTTGACTCTGAAAAGTGCTTTCTGGAGTCTACAAATGATGAGAAAGGCTGTGTATTATTTCCTGCCTATGTGATAAAAATCTAGCCACTGCAGGCATACCCTGAGAGGTGAAATTTGAATCTGTTTCCATGGGGTGTGGGCGGATGTGGCTTTTCTGGGGTTTGCAGAGGCACAGGAGCTGTGCTCCTAGAGCAGCAGAGCAATGAGTGCATGTGGGTTCACCCCTCAGGAGAGCAGTCCTGTGTTCTGCCCTGCTCCTGCCTCTTCACCTCCAGACATTTCAGCTGCTCTTGCAGCCTGGGGTTGGGGTGGCACTTGCAGAGCAACTTCGTGGAAGTGCAGTGAGATGAGAGGATCAGAACTGGGAGTGGTCCCCTTTGTCCCAGAGCATAGATCACTGGGGAAACTGAGACAGAGAAAGCAGCTGTCTGGGAGGATTACTGTAATCATGGGAAGAGCCACGAGTTGCTCTCAGCACTGTAGGCAAAACTTTTTCTGTCCCCCAAAATGTAGGCTTGGGGCTGGGTGCCTCCTGCCCTGGGGAGGGAGGAGCAGGGCTTGGGGAACACTGCCCGTGCTCCGCTGCAGCCCCGTGTCCTCCACACCTCCTGCTCCCCACACCTGCTGGAGGCTTCTCTCTTGTGCCTGCCTTGTGTGTGTTTAAGGTGTTCACTTGACCCATGATTTCACTCACCACAGAGGTGCTACCATCCAGCTCTGCCCCAGCATCCCACATTGGGATGTAGCAGCACATCCAGGGCAGTGCCAGAGCACAGGGCTGGGAGAGCTCCGGGGGGAATCAAACATGTAACCTGAGTGATGGGCTTTAGGGGCAGCCAATTCAAGGCTCTTCACCAGCAGCAAAAAAGAAAAAAAGCACCTTGATCAACTATTTTTTCATTGAGCCCTGCACACGTGTGCTCAGGGAGGTATCTGGACATGTTTAACTTTAATAAGGAGCTCGTTCAGGCCCTTCTCAGCCAGCTCCACTTAAGAATCATCAGTCATGGGAATAGCTTGGAAAAAAAGTTCTGATGCAGGTTGTTTACTCATGCATTAAGGCAGTTTCCCCTTCAGCTGCTGCATGTGCTTGTGCTGAAATGAGTGGTGATCACTTGCTCACTGCTGCTTCAGGAATATGGTTGTCAAATCGTGTGCCATTTGTGTGTGCAGATGTGGCAGGATGCCTTGGGGGCAGGGGTGAGTTGCCTTCTGGTTTGGGGGGTTTTCTGCCTTTACAGGTAACCATAATCTTCTGGGGACAGCAGAGTATTTATCTACTGCCCCACAAATGCAGGCTTTAGATGGAACAGCAAATATTGTGAGGCTGGCAATCAAATTGCAAGAGTTGATTTCCCTGTATTCTTAGAGGAAAATAGCTCTGATTTATTTGGAGTCATTAATTCATTATTTAGCTGTTTTCTGCTTAGTGAGTCAGGGAGAAATGACATTTTGAAAAAAAAATTAAAAAGGGAAAATTATAGCAGAGGTGCTTTGAGTAATTTCTGCTTGAGATGAGCATTGCAGGTTGCTGCTTAAAAAGTGACCTTTTGATTTTTACTGTCACCCAGAGGTGGCTGGGCAGGGTTTGGGAGGGGGTGAGAGCCCTGGCAGCTCTCCCTGCTGGCAGCTCCCTCGGCCTTGGCTGCTGTGACCCAACATGCTGAAACAAGATCTGGCTTCAAAATCAGCATTTTCAGTACACAGAACACATTTTAGCCATGTCAGTAGAGGAACGTTGTGGTTTTAAAGTCCACGTGAGCCTCATGTCACTGCTCTTTTGGCACAGCCACCACAGAAGTAAAAAAGCCACCCAAACCTGGGCCATGCTCTGCAGTTTGCTGCCTGCCAGAGGTTCACCTTGTCCCCCATATCAAACTGAATGAATGATTTGTACTTGGGCACCAGATGATCACTGTAAATAATTCTCTTTGTTAGCAATGTTTTCCTGTATGAGCAGTGAGATTTAATTTTTTTTTTTTCTGCCCCCAAGAGGTGACTGAAAAGCATCCCTGGCTTTAATTTTATTTTCAGCCCTTGCAGGGGCTGGGGGAGCAGGGGAGCTCCCCCCTTGGCCCAGCTGCCTTTCCTGTGGCTTCCAGGGGGTCTTGCCCTGGGCAGGAGAGGGGAGCTCCCTTTGCCATGCAGCCTTTTGCCCCTGCACCCCCAAATCTGCCCTGGGATGGCACTGGCTTGGGTTTGAAGGACAGTCAGCTGGTGACAATGGTGACATGATACTGGGGAATGGTCTGGGGTGAGCAGAGGAGGAGAAAGGCTGGAAGGAGGGGGGAAGAGTTACAGGAGGGGAACTTGCGCTTTGTTGTTTGGGAGGCTGAGAAGAGGCACAGCCTGGTCCGTGTGGTGGCTGCAGACCCAGCAGTAACATGCTGTGCCCTCCTGCCCATCCCAGCAGTGAGTGCAGACCCTGGCACTGCTGTGCCCGGGGTCAGTCCCACCAGCAGAGCACATGGAGCTCATGGTTGGGTAAAAAAGCAAAGGGGCAGAATTTACCCCAGGATATAATACACTGTAAGAATGTTTTCAGTGCTTTGATTAACTTTTGTGTGTGTGTGTGTTTTCTTATCCCAAGCAGCCTGAAGCCCCTCCAAGCTGTCCCCTCCCAGCCAGCCCTTCCCGCAGCAGCCGGGCTGGCTGGGGGCAGCAGGGCTGGCTCCGCACACACAGG